TTTATGTTATTCTCAGAAAAGTAAATTTACTTTTCTGAGAATGTTTAGGCCAGCAGAGAAGGCCTTGCTGGCCCTCAGGGTCCGCCACTGTATGTATATATATATACACATATATATATATATATATATATATATATAAATGAGAAACCACAGGTGCCAGGGCACCTTAGTGTGCTATGAGTACTGTGAGCTATGAGTACTGCCGCGGCACACAGTACGTGTGTCGTGGCAACTGAACAAATTTCACCTAATTGGTGAGAAAGTTATTTATTCATAACAAATCATGTATCTTTGTCCATCTATCTATGCCAGCAACTTACAGTGAAAGTGAAACAGAAAGAACAAATAAATTATATTCTATTAGCTGTCAAAAAGTATGAACGTGACATATGTATCCTCTCTTTGTGACAATTTTGTTTGGTGGTGCGCCGTGCAATTATTTTTTTTTAACTTAAAAAAAATGTGCCTTGGCTCACTGAAGGTTGGGAAACACTGATGTATTTGATGTACAGCATATTAAGGTTTTCATAATTTCTTTAAATGTTTGTTACAGATTAAGCAATGGCCATCTGTCTTTTTTTTTAGTTTGTCCTGCTATTATAAAGCTGAAGAAGCCAGTGCGTCACCATGACACCTGCATAGAATTCCAAGTTAGAGGTTCACCCCACCCAAAATTAAGATGGTTCCACAACAACAAGGTTCTCTGCTTTATCTTTCAGTGGAATGACTCAATGTCCTATGTCAGCAACATAGTAGTTTTATGTTTTTGTTATGTAAATTAGAGATGGAACGGTTCAGAAATCCAAGGTTTGGTTCGATTCTCGGTATGGTGCTCACAGTTTTAGGGTCACCTACGGATGCGTTGTTAAAAATAATCACTTGTCTTGTAGTTCGATGTGAAAGTGTGTTCATTGCATTACTTGTAATGTCTATTGTTATTATGATTATTATTGTATTTTTCTTTAGTTATTTATTTTTAATGCCAGTGGCATATAGTGGCAGGCATAACAAATAACTTCTCTTCAATTGGATGGCAAAAGCTACAACTCCATTTGTTGCCATTCATACAACATAAGTCATGGCTCCCTGCAACTAAAATCAGCTGTGTGTTCAACTACACATGCCGAAATAAATTTTACACGAAGTACATGTGTGACTAAACTGAAACACGATAATTATTTCAGTGTGTTTCCTTTTTTTGTTTTTGTTTTTCCATGAGGTTTTCCTGACGCAAAATATGTGCCATGGCTACATAGGTTGGAAAACACGAACCTTAATGAAAGCTAAAATTATTAATTAAGTCATATCTGAGGCACATAGTCTAAGATGTGTCCGAATTCATATCTAATATGGAGAGAGTAATGATTACAGTGTGGTGAAAAAGTATTTGCCCCCTTCCTGATTACTGTGTTCTTTGCGTCATTTATCACACACAAAGGTTTCAGTTCATCAAACCAATTTCAATATCACGCAGAGACTACCAAAGGAAATATGAAATGCAGTTTCTCAATGATGATTTCATTTACCAAGGGAGAAAAGAAAAAAAAAATTGGCGATAGGTGCCTTTCCGTGAGCCATCAATTTATCGTGGTGGAGGGGTTTGTATGTCCCAATGTTGCTCGGAGCGAAGTTGTCTGGGGCTTTATGCCCCTGGCACGGTCACCCATGGCAAACAGGTCCGAGGTGAGGGACCAGACAAAGTACGGCTCAACAGACCCCTTATGATGGATAAGATAAATAGATCTGAGTTTCCCTTGCTCGGACGCAGGTCACTGGGGCCCATCTCTTGAGCCAGGCCTTGAGGTGGGGCTCGTTGGCGAGCGCCTGGTGGCCGAGCCTACACCTATGTGGCCCGGCCGGGCTCAGCCTGAAAAAGCAATGTGGGTCCCTCTTCCCATGGGCTAACCACCTATGGGAGGAACCAAAGGGGTCGGGTGCAATGTGCGCTGGGCGACAGCCGAAGGCAGGGACCTTGTCAGTCCAATCCTCGGCGACAGAAGTTAGCTCTAGGGACGTGGAATGTCACCTCTCTTGCAGGGAAGGAGCCTAAGCTGGTGTGCGAAGTTGAGAAGTTCCGACTGAATATAGTCGAACTTGCCTCCACACACAGCCTGGGCTCTGGTACCAGTTCTATTGAGAGGGGTTGGACTCTCTTCCACTCTGGAGTTGCCCATGGTGAGAGGCATAGAGCAGGTGTGGGCATACTCATTGCCCCCTGGCTCAGTGCCTATACATTGGGGTTCACACCGGTGGACGAGAGGGTCGCCTTCGAGTGCGGGGACAGGTCCTGACTGTTGTTTGTGCATATGCACCCAACAGCAGCTCAGCACACCCACCCATTTTGCAGTCCTTGGAGGGTGTGCTGGAGAGGACTCCTGCTGGGGACTCCTTTGTTCTGCTGGGGGACTTCAATGCTCAAGTGGGTAATGACCGTGAGACCTCGAAGGGTGTGATTGGGAGGAACGGATGCCCCGATCAGAACTCGAGCGGTGTTTTGTTATTGGACTTCTGGGCTCGTCAGGAATTGTCCATAATGAACACCATGTTCAAACATATGGGTATCCATTTCTGGACTTGGCACCAGGACACACTTAGCCGCAGTTCGATGATTGACTTTGTAGTTGTATCATCGGATTTGAGACCGCATGTTTTGGCCACTCGGGTAAAGACGGGGGCAAAGCTGTCAACTGATCACCCCCTGGTGGTGAGTTGGCACCGATGGTGGGGGATGATACATATTGTGATGATTTGTTTGCGTCTGGCGGAATCCCCCGTCAGAAGGAACTTCAACTCCCACCTCCAGCAGAGGTTTTCCCACGTCCCGGGGGAGGCGGGGGACATTAAGTCCGAGTGGACCATGTTCCGCGCCTCTATTGTTGAGGCGGCCAATCTGAGTTGTGGTCGTAGGTGGTCGGTGCATGTCATGGCGGCAACCCCCGAACTTGCTTGTGGACACCAGCAGTAAGGGATGCCGTCAAGCTGAAGAAGGAGTTCTATCGGGCCTTTATGGCCTGTGGTACTTCAGGGGCAGCTGATGGATATCAACTGGCTAAGCGGAATGCAGCTTCAGTGGTCGCCGAGGCAAAAATTCGGGTATGGGAAGACTTCGGTGAGGCCATGGAAGCCGACTTCCGGATGGCTTCAAGGAAATTCTGATCCACCATCTGATATCTCAGGAGGGGGAAGCAGTGCACCATTAACACTGTGTGCAGTAGGGATGGGGTGCTGCTGACCTCGACTTGGGCCATTGTGAGTCGGTGGGAAGAGTACTTTGAAGACCTACTCAACCTCACCAACACACCTTCCTTAGAGGAAGCAGAGTTTGAGTACTCTGAGGTGGGCTCTCCCCTCTCTGTGGTTGAAGTCACCGATGTGGTTAAAAAGCTCCTCGGTTGCAAAGTGGTGGATGAGATCCGCCCGGAGTTCTTCAAGGTACTGGATGTTGTGGGGCTGTCCTGGTTGACATGTTTGTGCAACATCGCGTGATCATCAGGGAGAGTGCCTCTGGATTGGCAGACCGGGGTGGTGGACCCTCTGTTTAAAAAGGGAGACCGGAGGGTGTGTTCCGACTACAGAGGGATCACACTCCTCTGTCTCCCTGGTAAGGTCTATTCAGGGGTGCTGGAGAGGAGGGTCCGTCAGGAACTCGTTCCCCAGATTCAGGAGGAGCAGTGTGGTTTTCGGCCCGGCCGTGGAACAGTGGACCAGCTCTACACCATTAGCAGGGTCCTCGAGGGTACATGGGAACTCACCCAACCAGTCTACATCTGCTTTGTGGACTTGGAGAAGGCGTTCAACCGTGGCCCTCGGGGAGTTCTGTGGGGGGTGCTTCGGGGACATGAGTTACCGAACCCCCTGATATGGGCTGTTTGGTCCTTATCCCACCGATGTCAGAGTTTGGTTCGTATTGCCGTCAGTAAATCAGAATTGTTTCCAGTGAGGGTTGGACTGCTCCAAGGCTGCCCTTTGTCGCCGATTCTGTTCGCAACCTTTATGGACAGAATTTCTAGGCGCAGCCGAGGTGTTGAGGGGGTCCGGTTTGGTGGCCTCAATTCTGCATCTCTGTTTTTTTCCAGATGATGTGGTACTGTTGGCTTCTTCAAGCAGGGCTCTCCAACTCTCACTGGAGAGTTTTGCAGCCGAGTGTGAAGCCGTTGGGATGAAAATCAGCACCTCTAAATTTGAATCAATGGTCCTCAGTCGGAAAAGGGTGGAGTGCCCTGGCCGGGTCGGGGAGGAGAGGAGATCTTGCCCCAAGTGGAGGAGTTTACCCATGTGCTGCAGTCGATGTAAATAAGTTTATATAACGCAACATACAATTTTACAAAAATTGTAAAAGTATTATTCCTGAATATTTATTTTACTTTCAACCACTCGACATGTTCAGTGGCATCAGTGCTATACATACACATATAGTTCTTATTTTATTCTTTGTATTTTTGCCCTCTATGGACAATAAAAGCGGTATTGTGCTTTGACCAAAACATAAATATAAATCTATATAAATAAAACATGAATTGGAATATTTCATATCACACAATTTTTATGCTTTGTCTTTGATTTAAAGATGACAATACGCAAAAATCTACAAAAATTGTAGAAATTGTAACACATGGGTTACGTATCTTGGGGACTTGTTCGCGAGTGAGGGCAGGAGGGAACATGAGATCGACAGGTGGATCGGTGCAGACCTACTGCAGCAGAACTACTGTCAGAGCCATGAACCACAAACAGAGAAAACTGGGAACAGTGGCAAAGATTCCTGAGAGTGGTCGACCAACTAAAATTACTCCAAGAGTGTAATGACAACTCATCCAGGAGGTTGCAAAAGACCGTAGAACTATATCTTAAGAACTCCTGACCTTGCTGGCCTCAGTTCAGGTCAGTGTTCACAACGCTACCAAAAGAAAGACACTGGACAAAAATAGCAACCATGGGAGAGTTCCCAGGTGAAAACCACTGCTGTCCAAAAAGAACACAAAGGGTTATCTCAGATTGCCAAAAGACATATTGATTGATAATCCTCAAGACCTTAGGAAAAACATAACGTGGACTGATGAGTCAAAAATGTAACGTTTTGGAAGATGTGAGGCCCGTTACATTTGCGGTAAAAATGGCAAGGCATTTGACAAAAAGAACCTCATGCCAACAGTAAAGCATCGTGGTAGCAGTGTGATGGTCTCGGTCTGCATTGCTACCTCAGGACCAAGGCAACTTGCTATGATTTATGGGATAATGAATTGTGTCAACCAGAAAATCCTGAAGGTGTCATGTTGCATGTGATGGCAGTGTACCCAAAAAAGCAGAGAGGCAGGAGAACCAGGGAGAACTGAACAAAATATTCATGTATTATAAAAGAAACACTTTCAGGGGTACACTGGAGAAAATAAATCCAAAACACAAAGTCCTGAAAACCCCCAATAAGCCAAAGTAACAAACAAACAAAAACCCGTGACAGTAAAACAAAACAACATGACAGCAACAATGATGTGACAAAGACGTACAGAGAACTGGCAACGAAATACAAGCAAACTGACGAGAAAACACGGAACACCTGGACAAGACACAAAGGATTGAGGGAGCTGATTGTTTAATAGAAGGGATCCGGATGGCAAGAACAGGTGGAAACAAAACGATACGAGGAACACAGAAGCAAATGAGCAAAGTAAACCATGACACAACACCAAATGTAATGTAAACAAAAACAGAATCGTGACAGACGGTGAACGTCCAACCATCAGTTTGCGCTCTCAAATGCAAGCCCACTTAGATCATGCAACAGGACGATCCGAAACACACCAGCAATTCCACCTCTGAATGGCTCAAGCAAATAAAAATCAGGTTTTGAAGTGGCCAAGTTAAAGTCTGGATTTATATCCAATTGGGATGCTGTGGTGCGACCTTAAACGGGCAGTTTATGCGAGAAAACCCTCCGATATGGTGGAGTAGAAGAAATTCTGTGAAGAAGAGTGGGCCAGAATTCCTCCACAGCAATGTGAATGACTTATCACCAATTATCTCAAACACATGATTTCAGTTATTGCTGCTCAGGGTGGCACAACCAATTCGTAGGTTCAGGGGGCAATTACATTTTCACATAGGAACAGGTAGGTTTAGATTCTTTTTTGTGCCTTAATAAATTAAATTGGCATTTAGAAACTGCCTTTTTTATTTTCTTGGGTTTTTTCTGTGCGATACAGCAGGGGCCCCCAACCTTTTTTGCCCCACGGACCGGTTTATGTCAGACAATATTTTCAGGGACCGGCATTTAAGGTGTGGCGGAAATAATACAACAAAATAATATGGTATGAGCTGCATGAAAATGGTGGCATTTTCGAAATATAATAATAAACACAAGGAGCGTCTAATCTGGCCGCAACACTCCGATCGCTATGGCAATGTTTAATGTCTTCAAAACACGATACAACGCAAATTCAAAGTGCATGAAAATGACGACTCACCACAGCACCAAGCTTGATTTTCTGCAACCAGACGGTCCCATCTCAGGGTAATAGGAGACAATGACACCTCAAGTGTGTGGTTTATGTCCAGTCTACTTCATAATTTTGTTTTCGTCGCCGTTGCTGCAGAA